TTAAAGAGGAAATAAACCAAAATCGATGTACTATATTGCTTATATTTTGCCACTAAATCCCACATATATGTATATTGAGATTGGTATTTGGACACATTATACCTATGTAGATATCTAAGTAATACCTAACAGATAATCACAGGTGCGTCCCATTTCCGATACGAAGGTGAAATGCCTCCCGTCTATAGTTATTAAGGCTTCTATCTCCGCAAATAAGGAAGGAGCCGCTGCTAACGCAAGGCAGATAATATCTGTATATAACTAGTTCTAGTACTGTGTATGTTTCAATGCTTATTTTCTCTTAATTTTTTCAATTCTAGTACAACACCAGTCTCAAGACAAGTATCTTTTTTTGTTACTTTAAAAAAAAAAAACACGTTGCCCCACTTTAGGATTTTCTCCTGTGTTGTGGGTGCGTTTACAAACATACAATGTCACATACACATGACACCCAGACCCGAAACAACAATTTGTGGATCACACAAAGTGTTGTTCCGTGCGGGAATCGAACCCGCGACACGTTGCACGGCAGCCAGTTGCCCAGCCACCGCACCAACCGTGCAGTCTATTCGATTATTTGTTCAATAATCACAGACTTTGATCAAACAATTAAGCTCCAACTAAGAATGATTTAAATATAGTAAATCAATACTTATATTATTAATACTATAAAGCTGTAGAGTTTGTTTATTTGAAAGCGTTAAACTCCAGAATTACTGGTTCGAATTGAACAATTCTTTTTGTTTTTGTTAGTCCATTTATCGAGGAAGGCTTAAGGGTATAAAACATCATGCTACTATATATAGGAGCCGAGCAGCGGGTGAAGCTGCGGGACAGTAGTTAGTTTAACATAAAATTTATATGATAGAAACTAAAGCTTTTCGCTTATTGTAGTGTTCTCTTGTGTTATATATATGTATATTATTTCATAACATACATACATAATATGAATATTATTTCGCAACTTATTGTTTTCTATCATAACAGGTATGTTGTGATAATATTATTAAATGCATTTCGGGAACCGGCTTAGTCAATACGACGTCACAACGCACAATTCCGTACAAAATTGATAGCAAACTCTCGACTCTGAAAATTAAAAAAAAAAGTTGAATACCGAAATAAATTTAGCAATAGGTCTTGTGTCCCTTAGCTCGGCAGTGACTTAGGCATCCACTCGACCAATGAGTAACCAGTAAAATGGGTAAAGTTTCGCATATTAATAACACAACGTTAGACAATAGTTTAACGAGCTTATGTTTGCACAACCAATGAACAATCGAACCAGCGGTTACAGTAACCGGTTAAATTCCTATACAGTCCAAGCCTGGTAAATAAACTTATACAATACAACTGGTTAAAGGAATTTAGTCGTTATATTCTTGGTCGTTAGAGTCATGATAGTATAAAGAGTAAGAGTAAAAATATGTCTGTAAATGAAAAAAGTATGAATTTTATATTTTACGACCTCCTTTATCAATTTTTTTCTTATATAATTATATATGAATACTCTATGACACATAGTTCACACAAATTACGTTCTATATTCAAATTTATCTATACCATGATAGTTGATAAATATTATTGTGAAACAGGCCGTTAAGAATATAATTTTTTTCTCATAAACAATCATCTAAGGTTTTAGTTTCTGATGTAAGGCGAATAATTTATCACGGTTCAGTTCTTAAATAACGGGTTGGTTATTTAGTCAGTTAGAGTCTGACACTCTCCCTCGCCCCTCGTAGCAAGAAAGTCATCGTATGTTTTTCTAGGACAAAAAGATAGGTTTTTTTTATCAATATACATTAAATTATGCTTTCAGTAGTTTGGTTTGCTAATATAATTTCCTTTATTTTGCATGGAGTTTTATTAAAAGGTCAATGTATTATGGCCATTTTACCGTTTGCCATTAATTAACTGATGCAGCGATGGAATATGTTGTTAATTCATTAAAATTTAAGAACACATAGTATTCAAAATAAAAATAAGGTTACATTTTGTATAGGAGGTAATTCTTAATGAGGTCAGTATTAATAATTCGTAAACTATATAATTTTTTGATATCTTGCCTCACACTAAGATTTCCTATCGTTTGCGCGGCAGTCAGTTGCCGAGCCATCGCGTTTAACCGTTCATTCAATGAAACCGAAAAAAATATTTAGGATTTAATAATTATGTAAAAATAAATTTCAATTTTATTATACTTTCAGCTTTACTAGCTTCATAAAGTAGCGTATTTTTTGAGACACAAAATGTGCAGCACGTCTTAGGAACATTGAAGGTTCTGTGAAAATTCAAATTCTCCCCTTTCTTTTTCGCAAAAACCATGAAATGTGCGAAGAAAAATGCAATTTAAATAATGTGACAAAACAAACAAACAAATTCATATTACTCAATCTCCGTTTTTGCAGACTATTCACGGCAGCAAGGTACGTACTTCACACTTTTAATGGGAAATAATATAATTTTAATTTCTTGGTTATGGAATGGTCGCCACGGTCTGGGTAATTCTGGCGCGCTGGCTCTAAATATTCGTAGATGAAAGTGGGTGGTGGGAAAAGGGGGAGATTCCAAGTTGCATTTACAGGTGGCGATTCCATTTGCGGCCGCAATGAAACTTTGATCGGGTAAATCAATTCTGTTAGAGGGTCACCCGAGCTAGCCAATCAAACTGTCGCCTAATAGGTTGTAAGTCTATACATAATATAGGTATGTACTACATACTTAACATATACAGCTAATAACCGCAGAATGATTCGCCAGAAGAATTAAAAAAAAAACTTATTATTTTTTTACCTAAAGAACATCTTCGTTTGATGTGATGAAGCTGTAAGCACATCTGCAATAAATAAAAACATTTAGCACAAGTAGCGTTCTATCCGCCAGTAATATCTGTTCCAATGAAACATTCGTTTTTCTCAATTTATTACCTGTCCATAAAGATATTGGATGTAGACTCTGGATGGAAGCTTTAACGCTGTTTTGTAGAATGTCAGCGGTTCTTTGTTTTTACTGTAACAATCACCTTTCGAGGCAGCGCTTTCAAGCGCGCTTCACTGGAAAACAAATCCTTTCTCCTGAAGGACATTTTGACAGCTGGCCCGTGGAAACGCTGAGAATAAAGACTCGCATTGTTTATACTGAAATTTTACGTTTAAATTCAGTTTTTTGTTACCTAACAACGGTATTATAACAAAAAACTATGATAAGCTGAGCTCGAGAAGTAGTTTTATTTAATTAAGTTACCTTTATTCAGCTTTCGTGTAGCGGTGCAAATCCCTTAATCTGTGGCGCGTCAGCGATATTTTTAATAAAGTAGCGAAATCATTTGGCAGGTCCTCGCTCGACCTGCAAGCGCTGCAGGTGGGGGAGGGACACGGATCGATGTAGCGCGCTGCACGCCCGCTTATGTTCACCAATTGTTCGAATTTCAGTATGCTCTCATTGAAATATTGTATAACCTGTGGAGCCGGCCTGAGATTTATAAATTCATTGCTCGCATTTAAACTTACTACGTTAACTGGAGAGTACCCTGCATTCCGACCGAGTGCTTTGTTCTCTGCGCCGCAAAGCCAAATAGAATAAATAAATGTCGTGCTTAATGGCCCTCGATTAAGAAATTGCGCCGTACGGAGAAGTCAGGTGGGCGTTACTTTCGCGCAGAATATTAACTACCAAGAACTAGTCGCGATTCCATTCAATTGTCTCTGCAGACCCACTTACTTCATTAGTTTCTGTTGAGCTTTTATTCTTTTAAAAACAGTGGAGCAGGTTCGCAGCTCGGTCGTGCCCTCGGGAGCGACGGACGTGGACGATAAACTGTGGGAAGATTGAAAATGAAGAACGAATAAGCGGATTTGTGTGATACTGAACAAACAAAATGTTAGGAATTAATATTCCGGCTTACGTTTATAGGCGACCTACGTAAGGGAGATATCTCTGAGGGCGGCCGGCGGCAATCTGTTCCTCCCGTGGCAGGCTGTACGTTGCTATACGTCGTGAAGACGATGTATTCGTCTGTGCGTGGCCCTCCACTCACAAGTGATAAATGACTATCGTGCAGAAACGTCTTACAACATTTTCCAAGTTTCCCTACAAGCCTTTGTGCTAACCAGTACGAAACTTGACGAGAACTGTCTAAGTTAGCTGTAGCTCCTTAGAAAATGTAAAAGACGTGTCGAGAAGTAGTTGCTTATATAACTGTTAACAACTTGCTGACGTGAACTGTGACTTAGCAACGTTTGAGTTTCGTTTTATTGAATTATATTCTACAAGACTGTTGAAAGTGTTATTACGTGTTCGTTTTGCAATTGAGAATGTGTGAGCTTGATATATAAGTAGGTACGTTCCTTCAAATTTAATCGAGGTGTAATATAATATGACATAAAAAGCCGATTTTGGAAAAGGATTCTTTGGAAAATGCATTAGAACTAGTATAATAAGCTTATTAGCAACGAACAACTTCGAGGCCCCGGAAAAATCCTAGTTAAGACATAATATTGAGTTCGCCCGTCGAAGCCCTAATATTTACTTATCTCACACAAAGATTTTCTTACCAATTTTCTTCTTTGTTTATGATATTGGAAAATCTATACGAGGAAATGAGAAAAAAACATTATACGAGATAACTTTGTTTCAATGGTAATAAAATGACTGCAGTTCTAAACTTTAACGTTGCACTTTACCGGTGCTATGCAGGTACACAACAAATAAAATTCTGGTCAAAGTTGTTTTATTAACATTTTATTTATTTCTTCGGAGTCGCTGCAGTAGTGGCATGAGGTGGAATAAAATTAAAGAATTTATTCAAGCACTTTATGTCGCAGCGTTGCGTTGTTTGTTACATTAATTAATACAGTAAAATTAATATAATGCAGCGCTCGTATGCAGGCTAATGTGAGTTTAAATAAGTTTATGTTTCGGTTTAGCTTGTCGTTTGCACTCTCGCAGCGCGCATGAGCTCAGTTTGAGCTTAATTTGGGTGAAACGTACATTTTCAGGAATAACGAGAACCTGCAGAGCGCTAGAGCGGGCGGTGACGCGCGCCTTCATTAACTGTCTAAATTACGACGCGGTTCCACTCACATAATAAGATTTTACAGACCACCACATCAACCTACCCCAAGTTACAACTTTATTACATAACATTAAAGTTGAAAATCAATTATCAATTAAAAAGTCATTTCGATGTAGGTTGAGTGCACCTTATAAATATAATTTAACCACGGTTTCGTATCGATGTCATTGCATTTCTGCATTTTCTGCAAAATCGTCCGCTTGACCGCCATCTTATTTTCATTCGATTGCGCCAGTAAGCAATATTTTACAGAAGACTTGCTTTTCCTTGCATTTTCGTTTATTTCAAACGAAAAAAAAGTAATTTCGAGCGGACAATTTTGTTATTTAACCTTTTTGTTACTTATCACAGTTTGTTCACGTTTTTAGCTAGAACAAAAAGTAATCTAGTTACACTTGTATTAGGATTTGTTTTAGTTTACCGTACCTAGAGCACGTTTTATGTGCACTGCATAATTTCAAGTTTCCCAATTAAAATTTTCTATAGTTCAGAATCGTGTAGTCGTTAGATACTACTAGTAACGGATATAATTAAAAAGTTTTCACTTGTATAGTGTGGTTTTCGTATATTGTCCGTGTGAACTACATACATGTTTAAACTTTAAAGACTTGTTGAATTTAATGTGGGAGGAGCGTGGGCATGGTCTTGGGAACTCACTACAGTGGACCTTAGAACTTCAAATAAGTATAGCGGTACATTAACAGGTGCTGATAAACAAAACCAACCTATATAGCCCCGAAATGGTTACAGATCGTTTAGCAGGGCAACACTTATTGGAAGTTGATATGCAATAGACAAACATGCTCTACCAATATTATGAATGATGATTCATAAATGAAAAGTTTCATTAATCAGTATTTAAGAAAGTTTTTTTTAAGTTTATAAATACTATAATATAAACCTGCATCAAAAATTTTAGATGCTACAAACATAGGTATCATGTATACATATCTTAAAGTTAGGAAAGTTTTTAATTGCCCTTAATACATTTTCGGTGTCGAGCGAATTCCAAATTCGAAAACAAACTACTGTTTCAGCTCTGGTTAAAATTTTGGCGGCACTGCATGACGCGGCCTCTCGCGGCCTGCCCGGTGAAACCCTCGACTTTCTTTTTAGGGAACGCTATTAGGCACTACGAGACCTTTTGTCCTTATTTAGCCGGCCATAGCCAGTGAGTTCACATTTTTACTCGCATTGAGTTTTTAATAAAAAATTGCGCCGCCCGTCAACGGCAGAGCCTGACTGACGTTTAATCTATTTCCAACGACAAAAACTTAATTTCTGTACTTGAGGCGTTCCGTAACATGTAATTTTTGTTCTACATTTGTCGAGCACTGAAGATTTATTATGATGCTTAGTCAATTTGCATAGTATCTAGAGGAATTTGTGTGTAATTTGTCTTTCTTTACCGCGCCAAATTACCGGGCGAAGCGAAACGAATTAATGTTGTTTATTACGTTGTACAACATGGAAGGCAAACGAATCAAATAAAATAAATGACAAACAAACTTTGTACGTAAAGAGAAAAGTACTTGTACTTACTGAGAAAACAGTTTTGTTTGCTTAACATTACGTTGGGTAAACAAGTTCTTCTGTATTTCTAATGAAGTTTTAAAACGAGGAAATCTTCACGAAATAAAAATCTCACTCAAAACTTTCATATTTGAGTTGTTTTGGCACAAGTAGCTATTGGCAGGGACATGGTTTTGCACCTAACGTAACGAGGTCGTCTTGAATGAGAGGGGGGCATATGATACGTTTCGTCAAAGTTTTTATTGAGAGAATTGACTTTTATATCGATTACAATCAATTTATATTGCCTATAACGAAGTTTATATTTTCAAATTACAAGCTTATTTTACCAAGTTGATTTGTAAAGTATGGTCGATCATAATCTAATGCAGTAGTCGGATTCGTTCCCACGGGCCAGTGAGCGATGTGTGCAGTTTGCAAAGTCTGAACAAATAATAATAAACTCGGCCATTAGCCGGCTTGTCTCGCCTCCTACACTTCAAACTCTAACACCGAAGAGAAACGACGTGTGACCGACTTACACATGTTCTGCCTCATCACAGACTTCATTTTACATAATTAATTTCACTTAGCAACGAACTGTATTGGTTTAATAATGTAATAATGTTCTTGTAAAAGCTTTTAAAGTCTTTCTTTATGAGAACTTAAGAATTATTTGTGAGTTTTCTATGTAGATCTGTATTTGAGTACCGTAGTGGATTAATACCACCACCATCAGCTTGATCACAATATCACTCACAACTCACAAGGCCGTATGTGTCATTAGGCCACTAATGACTTCCAGATAGGTATCAGTGATTCAAATGAGGATTGATTAATAATAAAATTCAATAAGTGCCTACACTCCAAATACAATTTGTCAGTAAAAAAGGTGTTTATGTAAACTGCTCGGCTGTCAACGAATAAATTCTAAGGCCCAAAGTGGGGTAACTCCTCTTTTGTTTGGAGGCTTTAATTAAAAGAGGTTTTGTTTCAATTAAATTAAGTTTCATTTGCAGAACGCAAGAAAAAGTTCTTAATTGGCGGGAACAAAACACTTTCAGCCGTTGATTGCTTGCTTTAAATTTAGATGAAGATATAGATAGATACATAGGTATGTATATGCACATACAATATAAAAAAATATACATCGAAAACTCGATTTTACACCGAAGTTACAAGTGTGACTTTTGATTAACAATAATAACATAGAGTTCGATACGTCATTTGTATCCTGTGATAGGCCAAAATGGCCGCTCTTGGCAGGCGGCTTAGGGATTTTAGTCTAAGGATCGACATTATAAGTCTCTGTGTGTTGCATTGTCTATCAAATGTCCTTTAAACGGGATTAACGATAACCTGGGTACAAATATATAAAACAAATTTTATCATCATCATCACCATTTATCATAATCTTGTTGCTTGTAAATACTGGTGTGTTATTCTAGACTTTAATTTGTCCCTGTGCCAAGTTTCTTTATTAAACACTTTCATGGGGAAACCTGGACGTTTTCTCATTCTACACAAAGTTTAAAATCACAAATCTGTTTTGAGCAGACATTAAGTATCTATACATGTGGAAACTTGGAAAGGCTACTCACTTCTTTTGCTCAGCAGTGGGCATTTATAGGGTGGTGATGACCCGTGATGATGAGGCATTGATGAGATGTCTTGGGTGTCGGACTACATAGATATAAGGGTAGCTTTAGAGAAATGTGTACTTCTACAATGAGTATTATGAATTTTAACTTTATTGCAAAAACAAAGGGTTGAATATCTTTTGTACAAGAAACGGAAAGGAGTTAAGATTAATATTAATTTAAATTCTAGCAAGGAATCCTATTTTCTACGTTCATTTTTGTAATTACAACAATTAGAGCGAGGTTGTGAGTTATTTGTGTTTAAACATTAAATAATTATGTTTGAAGTTGAAAATTTTAATACTAACTACTTACATAAAATTACGTAAAGTAACAGGTTTTATTGTCTAAGTGGTTGGTAGAAACACAGTATAACTATGTTCAGTGTGGTAGAAATGTACATGAAAAAGAAATTTTGAAACGAAGCAAACGTATTTGTGAATATTTCGAAATTAGGTACACAACGAAGGCATTATTTCAGACTATACTGTTATGAGAACTTTTTTTAGTAGCCTCTGTAGATTTTGTCACTCCAGATAATACTTCATTTTATCTATCTTTAGTAAACAAATCAACAAATAAATAGGTTATATTTGTCAGTTTTCAATATCCTATCTATTCGAATTTTAAAAATGAGCCCAAATATTAAATGTGGGTATTAAAATACCATGTCTGGAAGAAAATCTCAGTCATACTCCGTTTCAACGTTCTTTTCAAAGATCCCGTATCAGATGCTATTTTTCAATGATTTTATTTAAATTCATTAACATATTAAAGATAGCAAGTATGTAAGTAGTATATGATTGGGCATTCAGGAAAAAATCTGTCAAAAATTTCAATGATACTTATAAATAGGCAAAAGGCGCCAAATGGGATAATGAAAAAGATCGTGAGACTGATCAGTGACTATCTATGGTTACAGAGTAATGACAGCTAACACAAAAGGACGTTTCACTAGCTCAATCACTCACTCACTCACTCATTCGTTCATTCGGTCATTAAAGTTTCATACAGAAACAATTAGTATGAATAATTGATCGCCGTAATCTTCATGGCGAATGTGGTCTCTAATTATAACGCAATATATAGTATAACTTGAATTTGAGTCTTCGTTGAAACAGTTGGATGACTACAAGTCACATAAGGTACAATGTAATAAGTAGACTTTCAACTTTATAGCTTTTGTTATAAAGTCGGAAATGTAAACAAGAAAAAAAATCCTTCTGCTTTATGTTCTAAGTACTATTTACTTTCGGGATAAGCCTTTCAAATCCACCGCCAGGATTTCCAGTAGATATCTACAACCAAGAAAACGTTGCAACACTGAATTCAGCGCGTCTCAAACATATGAATAACTGTCTTAGATCCCGCAACGAAATAAATCAGAAGATATTTGAGGAGAAGTAAAATGAAACAGTTTCCACTTCCCTCTATGAATTTAATGCAGGAGACTGAATGACTTAACCCTTAAAGGCATCTAAACCCACAGAACTTTTTTTAAAAGGTCTTTTGTGCGAGCTCTTGTTAGGCTTGTTTTTTGTTATAGGTATGGCAAAAATCGCGCGAAAATTTGTTGTACATTCTACAAGGTCCGTATAATAAACTATACCTGATTAAAAATTGTTCTGCCAAAGATTACATTCCCACAGAACTTTTAAGTAATGGGCAGACTGCTCCTATTATTGCTCCGCTGTCGAATATGGGCACCATGGTGAGTCAACAAGTTTAAATCAAAATGAATTATCTTTAATCATTAAATGACTTCTCCCGCCCAGGGTCGGGCGGGATTGTCAGACTCTTATTGACTAAAACCCCCCTGTTCCTTC